TTGGCTGTTTGCTGGATTTGGTTTTTAAGACAGGGTTCTTGCTGTGCCCAGGCTGTCCCAGAACCCTGGGCTCAAGGGATTCTCCCACCCCTGAGGAGCTGGGACTGCAGGCTCACACACATAGTTTGCTTAATGATTTTAATGATTTGGGCCACAGTGGGAACACCTGGGAAATGGATCCAACCTTGGCACCACCATCACATTCTGGACCAAGGACACCCCAGGTATCCAGCCCGGACTCTGCCCCACAACAGCGCATTCCCCACGCGGGACCCAGAGCCACAGAAATCTGAACTGGCTTCAAAAGCTTCCAGAGACTTCCCTGCACTGGGTCTGCAGGCAGGTTCCTCACCCCTCCCCTGCCCCAGGAACTTGGCCAGGTCTGAGGCGTTTTGGATGGTCACACCTGGGGGGTACAGCTCCCTGGACCAAGAGTTCCCGGGCCCCAAACACCAGACGTGCCAATTTGAGAAACTAACAATGAAACACCTCCAGGTCACGTGCACACCCTGGACTCAGCTCCCCTGGTACCAGCACCGCTCTCCAAGCCCTTCAGGCTGCTCTGTCCCCCAACACACCATGCTACACTTCCATTTCTAATCACACCATCCCTGCTTTATTTCCCGTGACAACAACCCAAAAATCCAACTCCTTTCCTGTCCCTTTCCTGCAGAAGACAGCACACAGTAACTTCCGGACTCAGAATGTACAGCCAGGACGCTCCTGGATCCAACTTCACTGCCACCGTTTCCTAGCTCAGTAAGTAACCTTAGGAAAAGATGCTCCATATTCCCTGATCCTCCCCTCTTCTTCGGAAAGAAAAGGGTGCCATCGGCACCGCACCGCAGGGTTAATAAAACACACGGAATGAGCCAGATGACACATATCCACACAAGTGAACAGCTGCCCAAGACTTGGGGACTGGTGGCCTTCTGAGTGCTCGCTGAGGATCGGCTCAACAACGCCCAACGAGGGGAGATTTTTCTTACCACCGTTTTTCTGGAGGAGAAAATGAGGCCCCGAGAAGTTGAGGAACCTGTGCCAGGGTCCCAGCACCAAGGCGGCTGGGTCAGGAAGTAAACCCAGGCAACCAGACTCCAAAGCCCTGAAGCTCCCCCACTGCATGGTGAGCTGCTGCTGCTGTCTCCCACGTCAGCAGCCCCGATTTTCTCCTCATCACCTATCACCATGCCGGGGGCCACTTACTGAAAACCGACTGACTTCACAGGTGACCAAAGACATGAGTGAATGAAGGGAGGGGGCACCTCCTCCCACCCCACGCAGCTGCTGGGCTCTTCCAGAGGCACCACGCACACAGCCACCTGTCCTCCAACAAAGGCAAACTGGTGACCACAGTGAGGGGAGACCACTCCCCGCTGTCCGCTCCCGAGCTGCTGGGTGAGGTGTAACAGCTCTTCTGGAAGACAACCGAAGCATCTACCTAGCCCTCTGCCCTGTTCATCCTCCGACCTGGTCACTGTGTATCTAAACATTGTGCAAAGTGACCATCAGAAGCAGATGGGACACCCCAAGACGGAGGGGTAACGGCATGCATCGTCACCTTAGGTAAAGTGCTGTCACAAGTAGGTTCTACTCAAATGACAAAAAAATGTCTGTGGATACTACGCAGCCATGAAAATTTGGTTCTTCCCATGTGTTCAATTACCCAGAAAATAGAAAGTACTCGAACTTCAAGTGAAAAGGCAGTTTAGAAAATCTCACTTTCTCTCTCTGTGGACACGCACAGAGGCATGTGCCTCGTGGAGGCTCCCCAGCCATCCCAGGCAGGTCCGCTTAGGAAGGAAGGGACAGACGCACAAAGACGGGTCTCGGTTTGCTATTCTTAGAAAGGGATCTGGTAAAGAACGCCGCCCCTCGTCACTCTGGTTGCCATCTTGTCCCGCCACACGGAGTCTCACAGCTCACAGACCCACAGGTCCAGCTGCGGGGGTCATAGGACAGCCACTCCCGGACACCCCGGCCCCCTATGGAACCTCTCACCGACTCCAAGCCACAGGCTGTGCAGCCAGGGCCAGGCACGGCGAGCTCTAGTGACAACCAGGAAAAGAGCTCAGGAGAGAAAGCCACAGAGGAGCATCTCCTCCCTGAGGCCACCGGGAGGCAAAGGCGCTCGTCACACCGTGGCCCCCCCACCGCGCCTTCGGATCCCAGCACCCCGCTCTGGACGCGTCTACGGGTCGGCGGGAAACACATACCTCGTGTTCACAGATTTTGATGACTACTTTTGCTATTTGCGTCAATTTGTGATTTCCTAGGGGAATAAGAAAATAGGATTAATTCTACCGGAAACACTGTAACACCCCACCTTGCAATTCGATGTCCCCTGACAACATTTGGCTCGCTTTCCTCCAGCAGCTGACCCAGGTTTCTGCTTTCTCATGTCAGTTCCGATTATCCGCCTTCAAGACCAACCAGTCTTTGATGCCTCAAGGTCATCTCCCAAACTGAGCGACTGGGGTGGCTTTCCCCAGATCATGGATCAACATCTGAAAAAGGTTTTGATCTTCCAGAGGCTCAAAAGTCCTGGAGAGGAGCCTTACTGTACCCGTCACCCCAGACTGCAGCCACCCAAGAAGGCCACGGGGACATCACCACGTGGCTGGGCCAGGGGCTTCCAAAGAGTCCTCCAGGAGCCACAGCAGCAAGCAGGGAAGAGCGTTCAAGCTCCATCATCAGCTAAGCCAAGGCCAGGTTCTTCCACCAGGACACTCATAACAAAGCAGAGACCTGGACAGGTCTAACCCAAATCCTCACCTTTGCTCTAAAGCAGGGGATGAGGTGGTGAAAAAACCATGCTTTCTTTGACCCAGATATCCAACTCCTTAGGTCTGATGACCCTGCGACCCACAAGCCCCGGAGCTACCAACAGCAGCCTCTCCAAACAACCCGGAGTCCCTGCTCGCCCCCCCCACCGGCCATCCCCAGGGCTGCTGGTCTTCTCCTTCCCCTGACCCCACTCACTCACTCTCTCCCACTCTCGGTGGGCCTCTCTGTTCACCGCCCAGCGACCCCCCTGGAAGCTGGCTGAGGGTCTGCGCTTGGCCACCCGTAGGCAGAGAACAAGGGCAGACCCGCCCCTGGAGGAGCCACCTCCGGGTGCAGAGATCAGGCCCATACACACAGCGCCACTCGGGAATCGTGGTGATGCAGCCAGGGTCAGTAGAGAGCCCAGGACCTCCAATGGCCTGGGCCTCAGAGGCAGGTGGAGGGTCAGCCGCAGGCCCCGCCCAGCACAAGCACAAGCTGACCTGCAGGCCAGGGCACCAGGTGGGCAGGACACGGAGAGACCCACCTGGCCAGAGGCAGACAGAAAAGAACCTTAAGGAAGGTGCCCAGAGGAGAATCAGATGGAAATTCTCCTCCATCCTCCAAATCCACGAACACACAACTGTCAGCACTAGATCCAGCACATAAAGGGCTCCGGCAGCGAGCCACAGAGCGCAGCAGCCCAACTTCTGAGTGAACAGTCGGGGGTTTCACCCCAACACACAAATCACTGTGAGCACATGAAATGACGACTCAGTCCCTGGCCAGGGGGAAAAGGCAAACCAAAGCCCCTGGGGACACAGGAGACATTTCACGTCACCCAAGAACGGCCACATCAAAAAGCCAGGCAGGGCCAGGATGTGGGACGCGGGACATCACATGTCTGCCCGGGGAGCACACTGACATGAGCTCTATGCACACGCGGGAACCAGAGTGCTCATGAAGCTCAGATGACCGTTCGATGGTGCAGCACCAGACAGCCAAGAGCCTCGGGCACACCTGCCCGGGCCACGGGCACCACAGGGGTCCCCAGCCCAAAGACGGAGACCACCAGAACGCCCATCATTAACCAGGGGAAGGGACCGACCGCGGCCTGCTGACCACGGGAGAGATCGCCTGGCAACTACAAAGGCACCATCCTCAGTCACGCCAAATCCCAACGCGGGTGTGCGCCCCCACACGGAGAGCACCCCCAGCCCCGTCCATCTGGAACTCTAGGCCACAGAGGGAGAGCGGAGCTCCGGCCGAAAAGAGGTGGACTGCGAAGCCTCCACCTGACCTGAGGTGTGGCCCTGCGCGCTCATCCAAGTCACTGAACGTGCTCATGAACCCGCGCATTTCCCCGACATTTCCACCTCCGTTCAATTACGGAGTTTGGAGAGGACCGTCAGAGCCGCGCATCACGGAGCCGCGGACGTCGGCTCACGCCTTACCGTGCACGTCGCACTGGCCCCGTTCACACGCCACGGCCATGCGCACACAGTGTCCTCGGTCCCCCGAAGCCTGATGCTCGACTCTGCAGCCCGGTTCTTCGCGAGGGGCAGCAGAGCGCGCACCAGGCGCGGGGCGCCCTCTCTGGACGCCGCGCGGCCACTCACCCCCGTTATAAATGATGCAGTTGTGCAAGATCCACTTGGCGTCAGCTAGGAAGGCCTCCGTGCAGCCGTACATTTTCTTTTTAGCGTTCTGGGAAGAGAAGCCACGGGGCACAGTAAGCAGTGGCTCCACACCGCGCAGAACCACCTGCCCCTCACACCATCCGCTCACCACCACTCATTTCCCATGATCCTATTATTGTGAGATCTATGACCCTATTTTTAAAAAATGCACCACTGAATCCATCACAGGAACTTGAATTTTCTCATCTTAACGCTGCTGTCATTTGTTAAGAGGTTCCTTCCTAGAAGAGGTCGATTTCTCTATTTGTATTTATTATAAAGACAGGTCTCACATGAGCCTCCTGTAAACTCAAGGAAGCACACATCACCATCCCCACTTCACACAACACTATGCCAACAGTATGAAAGATGTATCCTCCTCTTCTTTGGTGGGACTACTAGGGAAGAACCCAGGGGCACTCTACCACTCAGCCACATCCCCAGTCCTTCTTTTCATTTTTTTATATCATTTTGAGTCTGGGTCTCACTAAATTGCTGAGGCTGGCCTTGAATTTGTGATCCTCCTGCCTCAGCCTCCTGAGTCACTGGGATGTTGGGCGTGCACCGACACACCCAGCAATATGTCCTCTTCATAGATACTTTTCATTACCCATATTGAGTTCATGGTTTGAGATCAGCACCATGGTGGTGTGCACAATCTAAAGTGTTACAAATATAATTTTCAGCATGGAATTCAGCATGCACTCGGAAAAACACCTTCAGGCATTAACAAAATAGCCTTATCGGCTGAGAAGCCGATTCTAAGAAGCCACGTCCTTATTGCTAATCTGGAGGTTTCCCAGCTACTTAAACGTTCTCCTCTTCCTTCCTGCTGCTCTCATTAGCACCTCGGAAAGAAAGAGGAGAGGAGGTAAGGCGCGAATCGATCAGATCGCTAATTCCTAGAAGTACGGCTCTTTCAGGTAGAAGCTGGAATTGCTCCCAGAAGAGCAGGGAGCACATCTCCCAGGACCCCCTCGTCCCCTGGAAGGACGTCACAGGGGAGAGGAAGTGAGCGGACCAAGAGCTCTTCTCTCCAAATAAAACGGATCTAACTTGGAAGTGAGGGGCTGCCTCGGCATCTCCACCCCTGGGGGCCAGCACGGGAGGCTCAGCGGCCGAGGCCAACCTTTTCCAGTGTACAAAGGTCCATGGGGTGGAAAATATATTCTGCGTAGTCGGGATGCTGTTCCAAGGGAACGGGCTTCTGGAATGCATCTGTCTGTAAGAGAAAAGGTACATGCACAGGCCAGGAGACCAC